GCTGGAGGGGCGGGGCCACAAGTTTTCCTCAGCGATACTGTGGGCGACCTCAGACCTCCTATATAAATGAATGACATAAATGATGATCCAACGGTTTGATGAATCAAAAAAATAACCACATATTGTGGGGGTTTTTTCCCAGTGCAAAAGGCTGTCGTGCATAAGACTTGCCATTTAAGGATGACACAAAACTGCTAAACATCAAACCAACATTAAGATGATTTATTTGCTTTACAAAAATTAACTTAGGTACAATACTTCTTCTGTATGTCATTCCAAATCCAACCCCAAAAATATTTAGCGTAATCACATATAAGACCAAATGTAAGTGCAAATAAGCCATGTCTGCCATCTAGTGGGGAATAGTGACAATCCAACTTAAAACTATACAGCGGAACATTACTACTTGCGATACCAGGCCATACCTCCAATAACCAAAATCCGAGTATATTTGACAGCCATTGAAATACATTGGAAATATTTTTTTTAAATCCCAAAGCTTTTGTGATAAACATCCGATGTATATTCTTCACACAAAATGGGTATTTGCTTCCCCCATAACTAAAACAAAAATAAACACAACAACAAAAAATTTAAAAAAAAAAAGTAATTACCGGTAAGTAAATGTCTTAGGCCCTCCTGGTGTATTGATCGTACTAATTGATCATTATTTTAAATTATAAATTGTCTAGACGCTCATAATTTCATTTTCTCAACAGTAAATTTTATCTCTCTAGTCCTCCATGAAAGCAGACTGATCTAATCAACATGAAATGTTTGCTTTTACTTTGGAAAAGAGTGCTCACCCTTTTTGCCCTGACATGTTATGAACCAAACCGGTAAGTGAATCATGTTTTCAATAAGGGGATGGAAATGAAATCATTGTATCCAATCCATCGATTATTTGACAGATTAATGGATTATTAAAATCGCCGTTTCTTATAGCCCTACCTGAATGCGTGCCATATGAAGGGTTAATTCAAAGTGCGCTGCCTTTTCTGTGGTAACATTTAGTTTTAAAAGGTCAGCAGTCTTGAGTGCTCCTCATTTGCATGCGCACGGGCTGAAAGAACATTTCGCTCACTCTCCGTGCGTCTGTTTGTCTTTCTACGGGCATCTCGCACTCATGCACTCCTTCCGCTGCTTGTCCAAGCGCAACCTACGGCTGTGAGGAGAAAGACAATCGAGTATTTAATTGTCGAACTTTATCATCCTTATTGTAGCTAGCGCCTGTCTGCCGGGCGAATTACGACGCATGAGGAGACGTCTGGTGGTGAGCTAAGAGTGCAAAGAGAAATGACTCCACAGACACTTTGTCTCTCTCTCTCTCTCAGTGGCTAAAAATACCTCCAAGGCTAGATTGTGCTTCTCCATTGTATATACTTGCAGGTTAATTTCTCAACCTCGGATTTTTTTTGCCCCGTATTTTTGCTTCTTTTGTGTCCAAGGTGACCTACTTGCCAACATGTTCATTCGCAGCACTCCACAGGTGGCAGGTCCCTTAGGTGGTGAATGAACTCAAGGACTCATGAATAGTCACATCAAGTCAATATCAATGACACGTTCCTGTCAAGCAGTCAGTTTGGATACATTGGTGACTGCGCTATGGACAGTGGCAGTGTGTTCAAAAATTTAACACAAAGCAATGATTCGTGTTGAAAAATATTTGTATATGCCGCCCACTACTTTTGTTCTGTGACCGTGCTTAGCTCAAATCGTTTTCCCCCATTGAAATGAATGGAATGCTATTAATCTGTTCCAGGCCCTCCTCCCAAAAACAACAAATGTGTTGCTAATGTGTTTTTAACATAACACTCTGATATTCTACTAACATATAGTAATAATGCCATCAAACACAATGTAAAGAACGATACAATTTGTGCGGCATGATTTAATTAATCGCGTCTGTTTCTGGTGCGTGCAGCCAATATACTGTATTACAGTTATGCAGACACAAAGGAAGAATTTCGCACCCAATGTGTCTCAGTAAGCTGCAATAAATTAGGCTTTAAACCCTACTTGACATTTCACATGGCATATTCTGATATCATTCTTTGACTGATGGGCCAGTGACTGGATTCTTGAACAGAATGAATTCTGCCTCGCAATACGGTAATCATATGAAATGGACAGAAAGAAAAATCCAAGGTAATCCAAACCAACAGGTCACAGTTGACTTCCGAGGTGACTTCGAGAATGGCACACAAATTTAAATTGATTGGGGTGAAACTTAAACTGTCTCTCAAAGTGTCTACAATTGAATAAATGTCAGAACAATGTCTTTGGTCAGTTCGCCCAACCCTGGTGGAGGATGAAGTTTATAAAAATAGCAAATAAAATGAGATACCCCTTTGAGACCCACCCCCCAAAAATCTGAGTGCAATTATTCATCAATATTTTTTCATCAAATGATATTTTAATCAATGTATTTATATTACATAGCTCCATATACAGTGAAATGTGTTGCTTTTTCAGGTGGACTCTAATTGTCTCAATAGAACTTGACAGGTCGGAGATGCATTTATTTTTTTTTCTTTTTGTGGACATAGATTTGGTTCAAAATAAATATGTGTGGCACATGGCGATTGAAGCCAAATTTATTCAGTTTATTTGCATAAATTCATATAGATTGTTATTTATTTTGATCCATCAAAAAGATCGAACTTTGTAGCGCTTGACTGAACAAACTCAACTCAACTCAACTCAAATGTAGATGTAGAGCACTTTCAAACAGCCATCACTGCACACAAGGTATGGTGAGAAAAACATATACAACAAAAACTCACATTCATATCTAAAAGGCATTTTGGGGGAATTGGGGCACCCTGAGAAAAGCCCCCACAAGCCTCGGGAGAACATGGGAACACCAAACAAGAAAGCTGCTGCCATTTTCTGCTCTACTGTGTTTTTGTTTTTGTTTCAGCACCAGCGGGAGTCTTGGGCGTGTCCCTTCAGCGGTGCACCTGTATCTCGTCATGCACTCAAGCTTCTTTGTATTTAAGGACTCTGACTCCTGCTTCTCTTTGTTGGATTATTTGACGTTGATTGCTGTTCTTGTCCAAATGCCGTTTTCTAGACCTCGTGCCCTCGCTTGTAGTCGCTTTTGCCTTGCCTTCTTGCCTTTGGTTTTGTAAATTCTTTTCTTATTCAAGCAAGTCTTGACTAGTTTTATGTTTGTGTGTTTGGATTTGTGCACCTGTCATTTCATTTTGTGGACTTTTGGTTTTCAATTTTCCCTTGCCGGTTGCAAGCGCTTTTTGTTCTCCTTTGATTGACCTGGCTTTTTGTCGCCAACGATTTCTGTTACTATTTCGTCGATCTCTCGCTTTTCGACCAATACCTTTTTGTTATCATCATTTATCTGACTCTGTGTTTTTGGGATCCACTTATCAACCCGGTCTTTGTTCACACACTGTCAGCTGGGACCGAGAAACAAATCCCAAATCTCAGCTGTGAGGCAGACGTGAAAAGCACAGCCACAATTACATACCGCTGTTAAATGAAAACCTCTCACGGATGCAGGTGTACCTAATGGAATGACTTGCAGATGAGTTGCCAAGCAGTATATCAATTAGGGATTCAGTGTCTTGCTCAAGGACACTCCAGCACTGGACATTCTGACAAACTTCTGTTTACAAGACAGCCACCAAACGTTCGCCATCATCGTAATAATATCCTTCAAAAGGACTTCCAAGGTTTTGACCTATTTTGGGCTATTTGTTACTCAGCCGCAGACACACACACACACACACACACACACATTGGATCTTTCCATCCTGCATTGACAAAGACGGACAGATGGGTTAGTGGCAAATAAAAAGCATTTCCCCTTTTCCCGTTGCTGCTAATCAATCACCGTAGCAACGTGGGCTCTGCCCATCCGTCACCTCCTCTATTCATCTTCATAAATTCATTGTTCGTCATCAACAAACCTGCGTGGGTGTTACGTGTCTCCAGTGATTTGAAACTCAGTCGGTCACAGGAGATGAGTGATTTTAGATTATTAATGAGCCTCCACTTTGTCCCCTCCCGTCACCCTTTGAGATGAATGAGAGCATCCAATGAGTGGCCGTGTAACCGTGCACTGACAAATGAGGGTTGATGTAATCCCATCCCGGTGACCGTAGCCACTATTCATTACAGCTAATCTGACCATCATCAGCTTCATGACAAGATATGTGTGCAAAGATGGCTAACGTCGCTGTCACTTATTACTTATTAAGGGTACTAATGATAGCAAAGCGGTGGGAGGATGACATGAACAAGGTGTGACTTAATGTCGTCCTTATGTTGTTCGTTACAAGCAATTGAATGTATGACAGTTGGCCCCGCTCCACTATGGCCATCAAGGCTTCTTGTCGGAACTCTCTCGGCTTACGGATACGACAAGAATAAGTGGACGACCTTGTCTGAGCTCAGAACATGAGCGTGTTTATGTCAGCTTAGTATTTGGATGCGGAGAAAGGGTTCCGGGTCCTCGATGGTCTCGCACCAGGGTGGGAAGACCTTTGAGGCTTACCACGCTATTTGATGCTTAAAAACAGATGCATTCCCCAGGTCACTTGTAGATGAAAATACATGTTTAATTGCTCATTAAAACACGAATGAGACTGGTCAGCAGTTTAATAGTTTCATTTATATCTAAAAATTGTAATCGGAGATGGCTTGGGTGATTTGAAGTTCTTTGGCAATACGTGTGAATAATTTTGGCTACTTTTTGTTCAAATTTGAATGTAAGATGAGAAATAATGTTCATGTTTTAATGTTTTTTTTTCCACAGTGGTGCCTCATCTACATTGTGTCATTCATCATCTTCTGTCAAAAAAAAACATTCCGGTTGAATAACAGTAACTAAGTCCAAATTTGTATCTGTGGCACATAATGGATGGACAAAAAATCTGGAAAAATGGGCTAGAAACTGTAAACTTAAAAAAAATATAGCATTTAAATATCCCATTAATTTTGAGTTTTCTAACCGGCGTTTCCAACTTTTCTTTCAGGTGTCGATGCAATCGGAGCTGCAGTAAATCATCCGCTGCTGACGTCATGTCTGCAGGGGACGTCATCTTGAGCAGATTCTAATACTCAACTCTCGCTTTATGAATGAAGTTCACACATTTTACAGACTCACACTGACCATTTTCTACCTCTTGTTGCTTCACCATTAGTCTTTTTTTTTCCCATGTGCGTGTGTGTACGTGTGTTTGGCGCTCATCTCTAAGGGAAATGGTGAGAAGAACTTCTGTGGACCCTTGACGCCTCTGACCCACTTATCACTCTTTCTCTCGGTAGACAGTGGGATGACTTTTTAGAACATACCATTTGCTCTTTTTGCATTGATTCATCCACTGAACAAGGCTGTTGAAAAACCTCTTCGGTATTGGTGAACTGACGTCCACGCACCCAACTGCTCCTGTTTCTTAATTGGCTCTACCTCTTCGGTATTGGTGAACTGACGTCCACGCACCGCGCTACCCAACTGCTCCTGTTTCTTAATTGGCTCCGTATCAGTTCCCAGAACATTGACCTTGGCTTGTCGCGTCTTCCTGTCTTCCCTGATTATCGCCCTCAAAATATTATCGCCTGAGGCTTTGCAATTTCCCTCATAAATAGTCTGCAGTAATATAAGACTGTGGCTCGTTGTCACATCAGATTAGGAACACCGTTGTCACTTGAACCGGCCTCCATTTCACAATAGCTCGATTAAAAGCCCAATCTTTGGTTTAAACTCCAAACAAGATTTAGAAAAGCCTCCAATCAGTTGCCCATGAACACCTTCCCTTCCTTCAGCTCGCCTCCCCCCAACACACCAACCATCCAGTCGGTGTGCAAACCCTGCCTCCGGGCCCCGTGGAGGATGAGCGATGGGTCCACGCTCGACTACGAGTTGCTGCTGTCCCCGGCCGGCTCTTCCCTCCCCGGCGGCGCTGGCGGCGGCGGCGGCAGCGGCAGCCCTCCGCTGGCCTTGGTCGGGGTGGATGCCGAGCAGCGCACGGCTTTGGCCTTCGTGGGCCTCCTCATGCTCTTCCTGGTCTTCCTGCTGGTCAGGTGCTTCAGGATCCTGCTGGACCCCTACAGTCGCATGCCCGCATCATCCTGGACTGACCACAAGGAGGGGCTGGAAAGGGGTCAGTTTGATTATGCCTTGGTGTAAGGAGGGGTTGAAGAAGGGTAACGATGCACACGGATACAATCTTTCAGAGCTTTGAAATGAAATCCAAATGTGGACAATGAATCGGATTGTGAACAGACTCAAGGAGTTTATTTATTTATTTTTTGCTAATACGTTGGTGTAAAATCCTAGTTTGGGTGACGTGCGTTAATGTAAATATGAGGCATACCATGACCGCACTCATACCGACCAGCAGGACCACAAAAAGCCAAAATAATGAAGCTGCCTTAATCTGACCTGTTGTACAAGCTTGACAGCACAGCACAGCATCATGTGAGCAAAATATAAATACATTCATCAATTTTCATCATTACCCATATTGATTTGAGGCAGGGTTTTTCAAATGGGGGACATTGAGAGAATATAAAACAGCTAAATGGAACTATAGTCTAATATATATTTATATTTAACAAATTGCATTGATTATATTGCACTGAGACACCAGACACGATTTCCATTTCTGGTTTTATGCCAGTTCTGGTTCCATGATTTTTACCATTACTGGTTTGTGGTGGCAACACCTACGGGCCCTGTTTCCATCTGCAAGCGCACATGCGCTCGGCAACAAAACTGGTGCATCTTCATTTTCGTTCCGGGGCAAGTCTAGTTTGGGCATTTGGAAGCCCATGCTGTACCTCTCTCGGTATTCCGGCAGGCTAAGGACGTTTTCTATTGCACGATTATGATTCAATCCCGGCTCCGGCCTTCCTGTGTGGAGTTTGCATGTTCTCCCCGGGCCTGCGTGGGTTTTCTCCGGGTACTCCGGTTTCCTCCCACGTTCCAAAAACATGCATGGCAGGTTGATGAAACACTCTAGATTGTCCCTAGGTGTGAATGTGAGCACAAATGGTTGTTGTGTGCCCTGCGATTGGCTGGCAACCAGTTCAGGGTGTCCCCTGCCTACTGCCCGAAAACAGGGTGGGTTAGGCTCCAGCACGGCCGCGACCCTCGTGAAGATTAACAGATTAGAAAATGGGTGGATGGATATTGCGACTATCAGATCTTTTCCTCTTGGAAGATTTAGGCACGTGCCGAAAATGGATAGATGGAATTCAGCTGTGTTCACTCCCACAACAGTGCCACGCCCATTTCTAACCGTGTCAGTCTACAAATAAAACAAAAAAAAAACTGCACCCTGGGTCACTTTGCTCTAGACTTGCGCTGGACACGAAAATAGTGAAAAATGCAAAACACACTTGTGAAGTTAAACCTGCTCGAAACGTCCGTGTGTGTGGGTGTGTGCTTCACGCACACAATAAAAGACAATTCAATGTGGACTTTGATACGTGGGATACAATATGTTTCAAGAAAAATTCGATTCGTTTTGATTCAGTGTAGTGTGGCTGCAGCTTTTGTCATGTTTATTTACAAGTAACAACATCTCTAAAGCCCCAAATATTCAATTTAATCAAAGTCAAAGAAAGAAAAAAAAATCATCAGCAATATCAAACCCATTTATACCTGGTGTACATCGCTCATCAAATTCGATTCGATCCATATTTCCAGACACTGAGTGAGATGTGATTCAAGGACAGTATAGTTTAAAATGTAACAATTCGACTCCATTCGGTTTGATGAAAATTGATTTTCTGATTCAAATAAATTTTAGTTCCACCCCTAATTTACACACACACGCTTTTCTTCCTCAAGCTGCTTCCCCGACATTTTGAAAGCTGCTGATGTAAGGTTTACATTTGGACAGCTGACATCAGGCTAACACACAGACAAGAATGGCGACTTTCCACTCAAGCAGAAGGCCCTTTAATTAATCACGGCTGTTACAAAGCATCCATTAGTTTATGTGCTCATCAAGGATTGCTAACATTTTTTTTGTGCCGATTGCATTTGTAGACGTTGATTCTTGAGAAGCACTGCAACTCTTGATGCTTTACAAGCCACAGCAGGTAGTTTGTGTCTCCTTCAATTCTTGTCAGTGTCGTGTGTTTTGTGTCTATAACTTGAGAAGCCATATTGATCCTATATACACACATTTATATATGTAGACATAATATCTTACTACTGCAAGTACAGTTTATGTTGATTGTTGTTTTTTTTTCTTTGCCTGACATGTGCAGTGATGAAGCAAAAGCAACCTTTAGGTAAAATATTGCTTTATTTTTCTAATCTTGACTCAAGTTTGGGAGTCTCCTTTTTGCTATCTTCCCGTCCTTCCCGATTACGTAAAACTGCACTGTCAATTTTGAAAGTAGTGACTCAGCCGTGTCTTTGAGGGAGGCAAAGCTGATTGCTTTTCTTTGTCTTTCTGTTTTGTAATGATATATTTTTCAAACTTTTTTGCTTTGGTTTTGATACACTGGGTATGATCAGTCAAAAATAAAAATATCTATATCTATATATGTATATTTCCTCTTCAGTTGTGTATGTGATGTTTATTTATCCCACAATTGCAATCAAAAGCATATGTGCATTTTAGATATGTATGTACATAAAGCAAAACTGGCGTCATCGATTGGGTAAGAGGCGGTGTACACACTGGGCTGGTTGCGAGTCATCTGTAGCAGGGGTCCCCAACCGCCGGCCGCGGACCGGTACCGGTCCGCAGGGCATTTGGTACCGGGCCGCACAGAAAGAACTTGCCTAAATTCCGTTTTATTTATTTCGGAATACGAAAGATGTTTTATTTTGAAAAATCCGTCTGTGTCACACTTGACTCACGTCAAGCTACGCTTATTTGGCACGTGACCGATTACGCTAAAAACAAAACGCTGGAGCTAGCAAAATGAGAAAAAAAAAACTGCTGGAGATCGCAAATGACGGCGGCCTTAAAAGTACGTTCGAGACAACTGGATTAAAGTTATGGCTGAATACTCTGAGATCGCCACAATAGCACTGTTGCTATTTCCGACATCCGACCTGTGTGAGGTGTGGGTTTTCTGCAGCAATGGCGACTAAAACAAAATTACGAAGTAGACTGGACATAAACCACACACTTGAGGTGTCATTGTCTCCTATTACTCCGAGATGGGACCGTCTGGTTGCAGAAAATCAAGCTCGGGGCTGTGGTGAGTCGTCATTTTCATGCACTTTGAATTTGCGTTGTATGTATTTTGAAGGCATTAAACATTACCTTAGCATCAGAGTGTTGCGGCCAGATTAGACGCTCCTTGTGTTTATTATTATATTTCGAAAACACCACAGTTTTCATGCAGATCATACCATATTATTTTGTTGTATTAATCCGCCACACCTTAAATGCCGGTCCCTGAAAATATTGTCTGACATAAACCGGTCCGTGGGGCAAAAAAGGTTGGGGACCCCTGACCTGTAGGACACATAGATGACCATAAACAATGACATTCACATCTATGAACAATTTCATGTTCTCACCTAACCTTAAATGCATGTTTATGGGAGTATAGTGCAAAATCTGAACCTCTGAACTGCTCCACCAAACAGAAAAAAAGTATTTTTAGACTGTATATAAACTAATTTGCAACGCTACATAGTAATGAAGAGATAGCCAGGAAACAACACTTAAAAATATAACCCACAATACTTTATTGCAAATTGTCACTTGACAAAAGTTTACAAGATAATGTGAATCATTCATATCTTACCGACTGCCAATGACAGAGTGTCTTTGGTTTTGTCTTTGCACATAAATGAGGATCAGACTATTAAAAAAACAACAATGTGATTTATTGATTTTCAACTAAATGAATGTGCCGTGTATGGATGATTGTCACTTTAGCGTTGCCTTTGAAAAGGACTGAAACTACAAGCCAAGTTGTTGGTGTTCTGGCAAATATAGCACATCATAGTTCAGTGCAAGTAGGTGATGATGCTGAAGGAACTATTCAAGTTTGGCACTGAAATGTCGAAACGGCAAACTGATAAAACAAAACAAAACCAAAAACCAAATGACAAATAGGAGACACAAGGACACTATAAAGATACAAAGTGTTACAAAGATTTCCAAGTTAGAAAAAGACAAAATGGTTATGTGTGATAAACATGGACTAGGCTGTTGGCCCAGTGCGGCAACCTTGAATGCTCAAAACAAGATTTATTATCATTTAGCACCATTATGAGCCGAGCTGGAGGTGGTCAAGTTTGCGCTGACGCTTTTAGCATTGTATAGAGTAGACAGTGAAAGCTCCCCTTAAAGCTCACATCAGAGTGCTGATCATTTCAAATCTACGACACTCCCGATGAGAACAACAGTCACTAGTCTAAAAAGGCCTTCAATCTACTGTTTACTTTGGCTGTCTTGACTTTAAAAAAAAACAAAAACAATCTACTTTTTACTTTAAAATATACAATTTCAAGAAGCACGTTTGATATCTTGTTTTTTTTTTTTCAGCACTGAGACAATACAAAGCACAAACAAACACAACAATAATAAAACCTGGCACAAAATTTAACAAATGTCATTTTTGCAATCCAGATTCAAGACTGCGTTCTTTGTACAGCAGACGGGATTATCGATAGCACCTTTTTTTTTTTTCCTCTTTGAGAGAAAAAAAAATATGAGAAATGAAGAGCATGACCTGACAGTTTCGTTTTATTTTTGTGCATGCGTTGTGACTGTAATCACTCTACCTTACAGCTTGTCAAGACTGGTACTATTTGGTGCTGTGGTGTAAACATGTTTCAGCCCATATAAAGAAGATAATTCTGGTCAGATGACTGTTGCCTCCTATCAGTTGACCCCTCCTATCTTAAGAATCAATGCACTCTTAAATCCCTAAAAAGGGAATTAATCCTAAAGTGACCTGATCTAGCTTCTTTGGAAAAAGCTGCTGGCTGTAGTATTCCCTGCTCATGACGATAGCACCCTCTTTGGTTTGCATGTCAGCATCGCACTGGGTGAGAAGCACTGAGGTAACCTAACACATGCAACCAAGTGCGAATTGATGAACCTGAAATGTTGCGTTACAGTTGCGGCCCTCTCACACAAACGGCCCCGTGACATGACTCGAAACAGTCGCATGAAGCGAGATGTTTGAAATGAATATCCCAGAGAGGTGCCATGATGATGCCTCATTCCTTGTCAGATGTGGCTGGATTACTTTAAATGCATGCAGAAAGACGGTTATGGCAGCTCTCAGCACTTTTTCCCCCCTCGTTATAAATCCCCTCATGTGTTGTGCTTTTTTTTTTTTCTTTTTTTAACTTGCCTGCTTACAAAAGTGCTTCATGGACTTGTGTGCCATTATGTCTTTTATAATTACACCTCAATAAACTGGATTATTGTAGAAAAGTGCATTTATTTCAAATTCAAAATATAAGGTCATATATTAAATAGCTTCTAAAATAATTTTCATCTTATGTCTTCTCTAATTACGATCATAAAAATGATTTTGATCGTTTCTGATGAAATATTCTTATTTCTTGAGATGGTAAAATTTTGCCTTTAGGTGATTCAGTTCATGTTGTGCACTGAACTCCTGAAATAAATTACGTTTCAATAATATCCCAGTTTATTGAGAAGCCCTGCATTAGGGTGGGGGGCGCTCGACGCACCTCACTGTGATCTGCTCCACAGGAGTGCTTGTTGTGGAAGAGGAGGATGGACACAAGTAATCATGGTTAAAAAAAAAAAGGAAAATCTAAATCACACAAAACATGAACACATAATAACATGAACAGTAACAAAGTGGTGGTAAAGTTGGGCTGATTGCCTTAGTCTTTCATAGCCCCCGGTTAACCCTCTGCTGGATACAAAGGCGGGTTAAAACTCAAAGGTTCAGGGGGGTCAGTCCAGGGGCGGCGGCTTGTAAGCGCGTTCAGTGCAGGTGGATGTGAAGCTTGATGCGCAGGGCGTCCCCTATTTCCCCTCGTAGGTAGTCCTTGTCGTGCTGCTCCTCCAGCTGGTTTCTTCTCCGGGGCCCGAACAGGGGAAGGCTGGCGATGTCAAGCCGGTAGGATCCGGCGGGAGGCGGCCTCTTGCCCAACCTCAGCACGCTCTTTCCGTCGCGGCGCTCCACCAGGCGGAAGTGTTCGCTGGCGTCGCCGTGGGTGATGACGTAGCGCACGTGGTGCTCCAGCGGCTGCAGGGCGGGCAGCAACTCCAACAGAGGTTCCTTGTTGAGGAACGAGGCCAAAGAAAGATTCATAGGGATGGAGGCGTCCGTGTCCACGCTGGCCAGACTCACTGGCTCCTATAATGGATCACAAATTCGATTTGGACATCGTCATTATCATGTCTCTCATACAAAGACCATCGGACAAATCACGATGACATCACCCCCTTCTCGAAATGCCTTAATCTTGGGTATGGGAGGATTAGCATCGTGATCGTAGCCTACCGCTGAATGGTGCTGTTTGACTTAAAATAGGCTGTGGTAGACACGATCTATTTCCCTGTTATCTGACAAAAAAGGCTATGATCACTAAAGCGTGATTTTGCTGTTACTCAGGTTAACTGCACAGAAGAAACAGTGAAATGGATTGCACAATGTTGTCAATCTATTTTTTTAAACCAGATGATTATGGATAGGAATTGACAATAATTAAAAATGTTGATTCCATTATCGAGACCGCTTATAAAGCAGTCATTATTTTTTTTTAAGTAAATTTTAAAAATATATATGTGGCAGTCCAATAAAAAAAATCCAACAAGTATTTGTGATGGTTTCAGTACACGTCAGCGCTAGTCACTTACATTCTGCTATCCTGGAGCCGACTGTTTACAAGCGTTCCGAATCGTCTTGCTCGAAGACTGACTTACCTGATCAAGCTCATTTTCATTTGCGTTGCGTTTGTGTCGTCCATTCTTTCCTCCTCCGTTGATCTTACACTCGTAGCAGGCCTCAGGAGACAGACTGTCGTCCTCCTCGCCTTCTGCACCCAATTGGTTCGTGAAGCCTGAACCCGATATACAGTGACTGGATGGAGACACAATCAAAAACATGACATAAGACAAATAAAACTGAAATACTTATTCATAATCAGCAGCGTGATGGACTAGTGATCAGATCAAATCCAATCAAACAAATACAGAGGTTAATCTTCTATTGTTTCGGACAATTTGTAAGTCACTGCAGAAGAGATTGTGTTTGGCATTGGAGGTCACTGTATTCATCCCTCACCCTTGTCCAGCCCTGTAGAAGCCGCCAGGACAGCCGCAAAGGTATCCTCCATCCGTGTTGGAGCAGCCGTACATACACGGGTTGCCTCCCATGGAGCACTCGTTCACATCCTGGCAGCCCCCAGCGGCGGCCTCGAAGTCAAAGCCGGAGGGGCACACACACTTGTAGCTACCCAGCGTGTTGTAGCAGGAAGCTGAGCCGCACATTGAGGCTGACTGGCACTCATTTTCATCTGCACAGAAAAGGACAGATGATGACTGGAAGAAATTGTTCAACAAAAGCACAAGATAAAAATATTTTTACTATGCAATACATATTACTAAGCTAAAAATGCAACGCCCATTATCATAATAAGCCAAAGTGAACAAAAATCATATGAATAGACTGACACCAAAACGTATGCCATGATACATTCACTGGCCACTTCATTAGGTATACCTGGACAACCGAATAATGCCCCAAAAAGAATTTTAAAAAAAATCAGATTTCCTTCTTTTTTTCCTTGTTGTCTGGCACTGAACAAAATATATAAAATGTTATCAACTCAACTCAAACAACAGACAAAAAAAAAAAAATGGGAGCTCTTGTTCCCACTAATGTAACAACTTTGAAATGTGGTGTAAGAAAACACTGTTATCATAGAATCGTTTCCAAGACCCCTGCTATGGTGCTCACGGCCCCTTTAGAGATGCTGTTATGCATCACTCATTGTTATTGCCCTCACTCCATCTCTGTAGGAATTGCAATTCGAAGTTTAAGGAAATATTTGTTATTGTGACGCAGAGCGGAGATGTCAGTGCGACTCACCGACACACTGGTTCCACTGGTAGTGTTGCACGTAGCCTTGAGGACAGCCGCAGCGGAATCCTCCCATCATGTTCTGACAGCCATGTTGACAGCGGTGGTTACTGCTGCATTCGTCCACATCTGACAAACATAGGAGTGTTTTGGTGTTTTGAAATCCAAACATGTTATCCCGGTTTGGTCACATCTGACCGATGTCTCACTTCAGGGTTACTTACCCTCACATTCCAGGCCCGTAGTGTCTAAAGTGAAGCCCTTAGAGCACTCACAGTTGAAGCTACCAGGAGTGTTGACACAAGAAGCCTGAGAACCGCACACACTGTTCTGACCCATGCACTCATTGTTGTCTGAAAAATCGGAATAGATTGTTAACTACTTCGCTCAACGCATGCAAAGATGATTGACAGTAAGTGGACACTATCTTCCACTCACCTATGCAGGCGGTTTGATGCTGAGAGAAGCCGGGAGGGCACTTGCAAGTGAAACCTCCAATGGTGTTGACACAAAGAAACTGGCAGTTGTGTTGCTTGGTGGAACATTCGTCCAGATCTTAGCAAGAGAGAAGAAACACTGCATTTAAAATAAATAAATAAAATAGCCCAGATTTCTGCTACGTGATTGCCACCCACAAAATCTGTCAGTGAAAGGCTACAAAAGACATTTATGAAAATGTGTTATTGAGGCCCAAAATTAGTCACACGGAATTGGGGCTCAACTGAAGAAAATTATAATATTTACAGGAATGAAGATGTAACATGACTAAAATACTGCGATTGGCTGGCAACCAGTTCTGTCCAAATCCTAAAGTGAACATTCTTAGAAAAATAGCTAAATAACATCGTAGTTCATCGGAGATTACCATATTTGCCCGAATATAAGACGTCCCTCATTTGAAGACGACCCCCTCTTTTTCAAGACTCAAGTTTGAAAAAAGACTTTTTGAACACCAAATTAATTTTCATACAGAAAATAATTACAGTACATCTGAAACAAATGATAATAACAATATATTTGAGAGAAAAAGCATGTTATTTTGCCTCATTGAAATCTTAATATCTGAACATTTAAATATGCAAACTCAAGTGCAATCACATTCGTAAATGAATGGCTTTTGGTTTTTGAAATGTAAATTACATCATAACTTCTCCTCAGCTGCCGGTTAACCTGGCCGATCTTCGATCCACTTTTCTCCAGATTGTCGCTACGTTTCTCCATTTTCTGTTACAGTATCTCTTCTATTATTTTCTTCTCTTTTCTTTCTTACCGCTATTTTTTATTTTTCTTCTTCGTGCTACCGTTATTTTTATTTTCATTCTTCGTGACGTGTTCACTTTGGCCTGGGGAGTCAAGTTCAGCATTCGCTTCAGTGATATCTGGCGCCATCTAGTGTTGTGAATGGGTATAATGTCTAGACCCCGAATATAAGACAACCCCCACTTTTTCAGTCTTATTTCAATGCAAAAAACACCGTCTTATATTCGGGCCAATACGGTATTAAAGGTATTTATTAATCCATATAATAAAAAGGTTAGAGCAAATGGCATGCTCGAATCTGTGTACCCTTGCAGGTCTTTCCATCAGGCTGCAAGGTGTATCCTCTTGGACAGGAGCAGAGGTAGCTGCCCTCTGTGTTTTTACACAGAAAGTTACACGGCTTGGGAGACAGTGAGCACTCATCCATGTCTGCAACCACATGAAACATAGATGAGGAATAGGAAGCAGGGGAGCTGTCGCATTCTCAAAACAAGGCTGAAAATGCGACACGAACATCATTCTAAGATGGAGGTCAGCCTTACCGACACATGAGGTAGCAGTGAAGTCGGTCTTGTATCCAACGTTACAGTGGCAGCGGAAGGATCCGATAGTGTTGATGCACTGACCGTTGCGACACAGATCTGGCATCACCTGACACTCGTTGATATCTGGATGCAAAGTCGCAAGAATATGAGACAGAGATAAAACGTGACGATGACCATGCTTCACTGTAGGACAGGTGTTCTTTTGCACATGAGCAGTGTTGTGTTTGGCTTGCATATTGGGGAAGCACACATTTTGGAATTATGGTCAAAAAGTTCAGCCTTGGTTTTGTCGGACCAGAACACTATTTCCCCCCACATGTGTCTGGGTGATTGTTTTAATGTCCGATTACTCAGCTACTCACCCCTGCCATCTGTGGTGTAGCCGGGCCCAAGAGGGCACATCTTCTTGTACTGGACGGTGCCAGGCAGTGGGCAGAGCTCACACTGCAAGCCCCAGCCTCGACCTGTGTTGCAGCAGCACTCGGACTTGGTCACACTGTTCCTGTTGGTGGATGACTGCTGACACATGGTCTGCAGGACCTCCATGAAACAGAAGCCCTTACGGTTGTCTGGAGTAGGGTGGGGGGAAAAAACAAAAAAAAAAGAATGACTCATGTTTTTTTGTTTTTTTTTGTGGGCTTCAACTCGATTGAATTACTACGACTTCTCCTTTCAGGGCGTATTAGAGTAGGTAATCAATGCCTTACCAATACACTCAGTTCCAGTGGAGCTGGGCTCGAAGCCATCGTTGCACTCGCAGCGGTAACTTCCCACAGTGTTGACGCAGCGTCCGTTCTTACAAATGCCAGGCTTGGCTCTGCATTCATTCAAGTCTGCAGGCGGAAAGGAAAGAAATGAACATTTTTTTTACACTCGTATAAGTAGTCCCTTCTGTTCTATTCTATTCGTAGTCTCCCAATGCATTTATGTTGCTGTGCACATTACACACATACAATGCTAAATCTTTCAAGCAAGATCACGTTTTCTCACCCATACATCCCTCTCCATCAGGCCGACGCTGCATGCCAGGTGGGCAAATACACATGAAGGTCCCGATCAGGTTCTTACACGTCATACCCTTGGAGTCACAGTAATCCAGACCCTCTGAGCACTCATCCTGGTCTAATAATGATAAAAGCCAATGGTTAAATATTCATCAGCCAGTACAGCAAAATGTTCTTTCAAGAAGTACATTGGTGACAATCTTCTCACCTCTACACATGCGCTGGTCGTCTCGCAGCACGTAGCCCGTAGGGCACATGCACTCGTAGGAGCCAAAGGTGTTCACGCAGCGGAAGGCGCATAGCAGAGGATTCTTTGAGCACTCGTTGATGTCTGCGGAGGGGAAAGAAGAATGCTGTAATTCACCATTAAACAAAGCAGAAGATACATGTAATAAATAATAATAATATCATCATCATCATAAATAATGTGTATGTGGATGACTGACCTTCACATGTCATCATGGGTCCGGGTTCAAAGCCCTCTTGGCAAGAACATTCGAAGCCTCCCACCACATTGGTGCAGGTTCCATTTCCGCAAGGGTTTCCAATGGAGCACTCATCCGCGTCTGCAGGGGTCAAGAGAAGAGATCATTAGACGTATTTGCATGTTGTCCTTTCTTTGGCATTGGTTCGTATTTGGTGACGAAAGCAGACGTTCAAATGGGACATAACTTCTTTCATCTGAGGCAGTGGAGCGGAAAATGTATTCTCATCTACCGTATTTGATGACAAGTATAATGACCTCATGACGAATATTAAACAACATCACAGATGAAATGCAGCAGATAACAATTTAAAAGTCATTAAGTTTAAAAATACAGATGAAACAATAATTACTGAGGGTTGGAATGTTCAAGTCATTTTGACAGTAATTGCTTCCATAAAAAAAACATTCATGATTATCATCAATCCAAAATTCCTCTACAACAACTGAAATTATTTTTCTTCGCTGTGGCAAATTTGTGCTGAAACGTATCATTAAATTAAAGCCCAAAAAAAAACAAAAATGACGTTTTTTTTTTTTTTTTTACTCAAATCCGAATATGAAGTAACGTACCAATACAATTAACTCCAGTGTAGTCCAGGTTGTATCCAAAGGGGCATTCACAGCGGAACGAACCGTCGGTGTTGATGCAGATGCCATTCTGGCAGATGCCTGGGTTATCCAGACACTCATTCATATCTACACGCGGGAAAAAAAAGCATGTTTTAGAGGTGTATGTCCACAGTATTACCGGTACATCATATTGGCTTCATGATGTAGCACGCACCCTCACGAGCATCGCCAAGTCCGGGCAGCGCTCCGTGGCCGTAGGGACACAACGTGTTAAAAGCAGCTGGAAAACACATTGAAAAGGTCAGTTCCATTATTTTACAAATGCCATCATGCGCATAAATTAATAAAGGCTTTTCACGTATTTCTTAAGGTTACATGAAAAAAAAAACATGAGTAATGAATGTTACGTAAGTAATATTGGTCTAACCTTAACATCCATGCGGCTTTGAAAAAACTAGTGTGCCACTCCCAATCGCACACATCGCTGAAATGCTCTCATACACTCCACTAAAACACATCAGTATATTATACGAGCATATTTCACGACGAAGTGGGAAAAGATTTCCGTTGTCTGTGTGAGAGGACTTCAGTATGGAAGCCTTCCGTTTTCTCAAATAACAATTTGCTTCTTCTAAATTGTTCACCTCGCTCAGTCTGCCCACCATTCTACAAGTAGCTTCACGGAATCCGCAGTGTTCCAATACACTGGTTTTACCATCAGATGTAAAATCCGGCACATGGTTTTGCACGATGTACTATTGGAGAGCTTATGGCTTTCTTCAGCAGTGTGAATGTGCTACGCATGTGTGTTACACACCTTCGGTCTCTCTGGGACACAGCTCACAAGGAAGCCCCCAGCCCTCTCCGGGCATTTTGCTGCAGCAGCACTTGGCTTTGGTGGTGTTGAAAGCTTTTGGGACGGAACACTTTCCCACGTCGAATTTGGTGAAGCAGAAACTCTCTCGGGTGTCTGTTGGAAAAGAGACCAGAATGAATGGATTGAGAAAGAATTGCACATATTTCACACAGGCATTCAACTTTTTTTTTTTTTAATTCTACGAATGACCAGGATCATCCGTCCATTTTAAAAAAATCATATGTGGCCCTTGAGCACAAAAGTCTGCCCACTCTTGAGCTACAGCCACTGAAGACAAAAACAAGAGTTTGTCTCACCATAGCAGCGCCGCTTGTTGTCAGAAAGCACGAAGCCCGGCTGGCAGGTGCACTGAAAGCTGCCAGGGGTGTTGGTGCAGGTGCCAAACTGGCAAAGGTTTGGTTCCACCTCACACTCATTGATATCTGAAAAGACGACAGGGCACGAGAACATGAAGGAGAGAAGATGATATTGTGGAAGAAGTGTCCATGTCTGCGTTTTACCAATGCACTGGTCATTCTGCACCTCGTAGCCCGGAGGACAAATACATCGGAAGGATCCATCCAAATTCTGACAAGTTCCCGGGGAGCACGTGCCAGGTAGACTCACGCACTCGTTGATATCTGGAGTGGAAAAAAAAAATATGCTTAACTATGAAAACTAGAAACATTAAAGAGATTCATTCATGAATCAGACTTACCAACACAGTTTTTCCCATCAGGTGTATTCTCATAACCTTCGTGGCAGAGACATTGGAAGGAACCCATTCCGTTGATGCACTGCCCATTCCTGCACACTTGACCCTGCAGAGCGCTGCACTCGTCGATATCTGCAAGGAGAACATTTCTGGGTAAACTTTTCTGCATTCAAAGTAGGGCCTGACCAATATGGATTTTAAAATAAATTTTTAACATTGATCCCATATTTAGCATCCCAATAACCTATAAATCTTTGGTTTCTGAAATAAATATATCAGGAATAAAATAACTTCTTTTTGTGATCCCTTCAGGCTAACAGCAAGTAAGGTAGATGATATGACAGTTTTCAATACTTTGTCCTGCCGTATTTGCTTAAGATATGGTAAAACTAGGCCTTTTTTGGGTGGGGGGTTGTTTGTGATTATCTTTGACTTATGCTGTAATGTCTAAATGTGTTAAAACAAAAGAAAACAAACAAATTGGCAAAATATCAGCTGTTTTTTTACATAAGTTAATGCTAATCTTGCATACTGTTATAAATTGTGACCCTACTTTGAAACCCTAAGCCTATTTTAAAACACTACTTTTTTTTTTTTTTGGAACAATTTATTTCTAACATGCATAAAAATAAAAGTAAAATATATACTGTAAGTTGTGAGGAAAAAAAAAAACATAAAAATTGAGACCATCCCAAAAATTACAGAGAAAAATTATCAGCATGAATATAAATCCTGACACAGACACAGATTCAAGAATTAGAGTTGTCTTACTAATTGCAAGGTAAAGCTACTGCCAGATATTTTTTTTGTTATTTATTGTGTTACATCTGATCCTGCGGTCACCATGAGTTGGAACCACATCAGCTAAAAGCGAAATCAGGGAATCCATGTCTTGTAGTGTGTAATCCATGCCATACCCATGCAGTCATTGTTGTGCGTGAGCTCGAAGCCAGGGAAGCACAGGCAGTTGTAGGACCCCACGGTGTTTTTACAGGTGCCGTTGCCACACGGCTGTCTGTCGCACTCATCAATGTCTACAAATACATCAAATGTCCGAGTTGAACTGAGGAAAACAAAGCAGTCATACGATCGGTTGTGGATCAGCCCCTCTCACCCATGCACATTGTCTGGTCTGCGGTCGCCTTGAAGCCGTTGTGGCAGAGACACCGGTAGCTGCCTTGGGTATCAATGCACTCTCCGTGGCTGCACACGTTGGGAATCTCCTGGCACTCGTTGCGGTCTAACAGAACAAAAGGAGAGGATGATGTCAGCATTCTCACACACACTTTCTCAGTAGCCAAGACACGTTAACAGTTTTTGGGTTGAAAGGAGTGTGGAAAAAACGGATTTGCAGAAAGGGTCAATGCTTACACTTAACGTTGTAGCAATTTACTATGATGAACTGTTGGTTTATCGTTGAACAATCGTGAGAACTTCCCATTCATCATCTTTTTCGACACTTGCTTAAGTGCTGATGCTGAATGAACGGAATCGTTTTTTGTGCGCGGACAAACTCCAAGGAGTATGCACTCACCCAAGCAGGCTCCACTTGGGGAGAGTTTGAAGCCTGGCGAACACTCGCAGCGGTAACTGCCGGGAATGTTGATACACTTGGCGTTACGCTGGCACAGGTTGTCCCCGCTGTTACACTCGTCAATATCTGTCCAGGACACACATGCAACATCAAACCCGGGCGGTATTGCTTTTTTTGGCTGCCTGTTATTTTAGAAGGGTTACCTTCACATATGAGCAGGATGTTGTTGTAGCTGAAGCCCATTCGACATTCACAACGGAAGCTTCCGATCTGGTTGATACATACGCCATTGGCGCAGATACCGGGAATCTCCCTGCACTCATCTATATCTACACATAATGACAACAGAGGATAGTTAGATGGATGGATGTCAACTAATTTGATTTTGTCCATGTAAGCCACACAAGGGCTGATTTATTTTTTTTTTTTTACATATTCAATAGGATATAAATACACGTGCCTTTTCTCAGAACATGCACATTCAAGCTCACAACCGAGGTTTTGCTGTTGCTTTACTGTCTTCTGATTGGCTAAATTGCACTTGCCAACCAGTGGATTCATATTGTTGTGATGCAATTTTTTTTTTGAAAGTCATGACTTACCAACGGGCTTTCCAGTATGGATGTCAATGATGAAGCCAGGGGCCTGGTTACCACAAAGTAACTGATATTCAGCTGAAACACGATAGGACGGGTGCAACATGAACGGAAATGCTTTTAATTGTTTCTCAGTGAGACATTTTTGTTTACAAAGGTGATGCTCACAGGTGGCGGGAGTTGGGCAGGCCTCGCAAGGCTTGTTCCAGGCCTTGCCTACGTTGTACGCACAGCAACACATCTTCTTGGTCATGTTGAACGACAGCTCGTTCTCGCATGTGTCATTGAAGTTGCGATAACACACGCTTTTTCTCATGTCTGAAATTCACAGATAGAACAGAATCAGCACAAAATTCTGCCCCCCACCCTCCCCATTTAAGGATGCTGGTTATGATGTCACTTACCCATGCAGTTGTTTCCTCCGTTGACCTGCATGTACTCAGGGGGACACACGCATGTGTAGTTGCCCAAAGTATTGTAGCAGGTACCAGGTCCACAGATCCCAATGTGGGTGGTACATTCATCAATGTCTATAAGTTAAGAAAGGTGGGTGCAGTTAGTCGGAGCTGAAATAAGAAGTGACAGTCATCATTGGTTGTGAGTCTTCTTACCTTCACAGATGCGAGTCTCCTCATTGAGATAATAACCTGCTGGGCATTCACACTGGAAGCTACCAAAGGTGTTGACACAGTTTCCACCCTGGCAGAGGCCTGGAAGCTCCTGGCACTCATCAATATCTAGAGAATGAATCAAATACTGAATTGTTGTTCCATGTAGAGCTGAGGAAGAAAAGAAAGTTGAACGGTTTACCTTCTAGGATGACGGTAATGGGGTTGGGTCTGAAACCTTCTCCTCCGGGGCAAAGAGTCCGATATTCGGCTGGTGAAAAAGCAAAGCTTGTTACTTACGGTGCATTATGCTGATATTTACTGTACATACTGCAGCAAGAAATAAAGATGTAGCCGGCCACATTGGGTACAATACAACAACTGGATCAGGTCTAAAACAATTTAAAATGGACTAATAATAATCCAATAATCTATTGTAAAACGTTTGTCTCGTTTCTTCAAAATAGGGGAACCAAAAAAAGAAAAAAACTCTCATTATGGATGCATTACAGTAAAGTTCTACTGAACTGTAACCTGTTACCACAACAAATCCCTTTAAAAGTGTCACTCAAAAGCATTCCTTTCTAATGCAGCTCTTATTATGGATCCAGATCGTTGGAACCGAACCTTGTGGCCAGCGAATGAACATTTAAGATCACGTCCAAAATCAAATAGCAGATCGGAGGTCATGCATACTCGAGTTGGGAGCAGGGCAAAGTTCGCAAGGGTTTCCCCAGGCTCCTCCCAGTGAACAGCAACAAGAAGCTCGAGTCACGCCCACTCCGATCTCAGCACTGCAGGAGATTCCTCCATCGCCGCGCGCGAGGATGTCGAGGAAGCAATTTCCCACACGGGTATCTGTGTGAGAGATATCGTGAAAAATATATCACTTAAAAAAAAAGATTAAATCCAACGTTCAAATGCATTAGGATAAAAAAAATCTGACCATAAGTTACATGAGTGATAATTTTTTTTGCAGTTCTCTATAATCAAAAAATATTGGGAAAATATAAAATCATGCAGTATTTCATTCTTTTATTTCAACTAATAAGAATCCAGTACTTTTTAGTGAATCTATTTCCTAAATCAGTTCTGATATAGGTGACTTTTTTCACCCCACTGTAACACATGGCGTTATGTCATGCTGTGTCCATTTGCTTTTTCTGACAGTAAAAATAACGATGCGCTGCCTCACCTACACAACCGACACCAGTCGGGTTGAGCTCAAAGTCGGACGGGCAGTTGCACAGGTAACTTCCTGGAGTGTTCACGCACAATCCGTTGATGCAGTTCACTGGGTCGGCACACTCATTGATGTCTGGGGTACACAGTGGCATAAAAAAGTGAATTCTAATGGACCATCTCACCTTGAAAAGCCAACCTCGGTGTTTGAAGAAAAAAAAATGTACGCGTTATTTTGTTGCAGCCTTGACGCTAACCTGTGCAGTTTCCTCCACTACGGTCTAGTTCATAACCATCATCACAGACACAGCGGAACATCCCTGGAAGGTTCTGGCATGTTCCAAATACGCAGATGTTCTGGAAATTACACTCATCGATATCTGTGGGGAAAGATCAGGGAATTTAAAAAATATCTAGTCCATAACAAATAATGTCACTGAATAAAGTGTGCAGAAGTGGTGGAGGTGTGGACCTTGACAGGCCTTGCTGTCCTCTGTTGGGGTGAAGCCCATCTCACACTCGCAACGATAGCCTCCAGGAGCATTGAGGCATTGGCCGTTTTCACACAGGTCGACATTGTCTGCACACTCGTCCATGTCTGAGGGACAAAAGGGCAGTGCACGGTCAGTGACAACGGCTCTGGTTAAATGAGAATCAAAATGTGTCATTGGGGGGGGTGAAAAAAAGTTGGTTTTTTTTTTGGTCTTACCAGAGCAGGAAAAGCCATCTCCATTGAAGCCCTCCTTGCATGTGCATCTGAAAGATCCTGGCGTATTGACGCAGTCTGCGTTCAGGTTGCAGTTGTGGTCCTCTGCGGCGCACTCATCCTGATCTACATGAAGAATGATACATTCTCAGTAAAGCTTTGGCCAATCACTTTGTCATGACAAATAAAAGTGGTCCGATTGGAATGGAAATAGAAAATACACTCACCGACACACTTGATGCCATCTCCCACCCAGCCATCCCGGCACCGACACTTGAAGCTTCCGGGAACGTTGATACATGCGGCGTGCATGTCACAGTTATGGGCTCCGATCTCACACTCATCAATATCTGCGAATATATTCAAGAAGTGTTATAAACAATATTCATTGGCATTATAATCATGATCATGACAAGGTTGACAGAATAATTCACACTGAACAGTGTGTGGCAATGTTTACAATGTGTAACTCTTTGGTTCATGTTGGATGATTACCGTATTTTCTGCACTTATAAAGCGCATCTAAAAGCATTCAATTTTCCCAAAAGCTGACAGAGCGCCCTGTAATCCAATGTGCCTTATATATGTCAGTCTCTTTACATTGCCCATTGAGTTCTTTCCCTGTTCGTGTTCCTATGCCATCTAGTGGTGACTATGAGCAGAAACCAATTGTAACCTGCAAGGGTTCTGCCCGACACTAATTGACAATAATTGTATTCAGCCAAAATAGATTCAAACAGAAAACTACTTTGTGAGCTCTGCGCAGTCATAATAAAACGGCGATAATACCAACAGCATAAGTAACTACTGACTAAATGAAGAAAGAAGGAGACAAGCAAGACTTCTAAGGATATTTAGCCCTTTGTGGTTGTGAGTCCACGAGGTTTGTGTGTCTTTTTGTTCACTTAATTGTCTTCATAACTTTTGTCTTTCATTTATTGTTTTGTAATGCCTTTTGTATTTATGTTTCATGTCTATGTTTGTGACCAGTTCTCATGGCTTTGTTTCAGCTGCATCAGTTATGAAGGTTCTTCTCTATAAATAAAGCTGTATTGTATTGTATTGTATTCCCTTAAGTGTATCGCCATCGAGTGGATGCATAGCGCAACTGCAAACACTATTGTAGCTTCTATTCTATGCGCCTTATAATGCAGTGCATCCTACACACGAAAACGGTTTTAAAATAGGCCCATTCATTGAAGGTGTGCCTTATAATCCGAAGCGCCTTATAGTGCAGAAAATACGATATAAATTTTCTGTGTATAGTGGCTATTGGGGGATGTGTGTGTGTGTGTGTGTGTGTGTGTGTGTGTGTGTGTGTGTGTGTGTGTGTGTGTTTTTGCGTGCGCCTCTGTGTCTCCA